CTGCTGAACACATTCCCCTAATCCCCAAGACCAGTAGAAATGAGATGCACCCAGAGGAAGAAGTGTCTTGGATAACTCCTAGATGCTTGCAGTCATTCAAATGTTGATATAAACCTATCAATCCCTCCCTTCCCTCCTCCCCACTGCCCCTTCCACATCTAGAGTGCCAAACTCAAGTAGCTTGGACAAGAACACCCACCCTGAGTGCTCATGCTAACCAAAGCTTTCTGCATTGCCTGTAGCTTCCCATACTGGCAGAGATGTTCCCCTACCCTGTATGCACAGACAACACACACACACACACACACACACACACACACACACAAACTACTTTCAAATTGTTACTGTAGATGATGAGTAAGATTTTCCAAGACTCTCAGACTATATGGGAACTTAACATTCATGGGCTTTCAGCAAGATGCAACTGTTCCAAGCTATCAAAATTACTCTGAAATTGCCTTTTCCAGTTGAAAATTGGTTTCAGGAAACAACCATGCCCACATGAGTTATTAAATTTGTGCACCTTAAAGAAAACCTGCCTCTCAGATGAAGCTAAATAGCTAAATGCATGGCTGATGGTTTTTAAACCACCTAGTTATTACAGAGCAATGGTCCTGGGAAACCTAAAAAGCTCTTTTCAACTTTCTTCCATCCAGTTTTCTGTGACTGGATCGGTGGCAACACCATGCAGGGCAGTGATGGTTTTCATCAAGGGCAGAGGGAGGGGACAGTTGTCTGCACTCAGAAATCAAAGTAAAGCCCGGGCAGCTGGCCTGATTACGATGACATTTTCCAAAGCAAGGAGGCCATCTTCATAACAGGAGACTATAAAGTCTGGAAAGGAGATAGGGTCAAAACACAAGACCCATTTGAACTAGGAGACAGCCCAGAGCACTCACCCCCCGAGCCAGAGGGAAAACAAGCCCAAATTTTAGATGATGGAGCAAACACTGCCTCAGCTCTGCCATTGCCTGCAGAAATCCTTTATCACAAAGGTCACTGGGATCTTTATTTGCTATTTCTGGCATGCACTGTGCCAACTACTTCCCCCAACCAAAAGCAACATGCTGACCCAGCAATACCACGCTCAGCAGCAAGCCATGCTGCTGCAATCAGAGAGGCTTTTAATAATACAGTTTTTTTAAAATAAATATGCTAAAGAACTGCAAAATGAAGAGTGTGGAGTGTTTAAGGAGCTCAAGTCTTAATATCTGATAGCAGAGCATCACCAGACGCTGCTAAGCCTTAACCACAGTGCAGAAATCCTGTGGGGCACTTA